ATATATAAAATTTAGTAAAGCTAAGGGATAACATGATCATAGTAATTAAATGCCTATATGTGAAGTACAAATCTGGTGACAATGAAGTGGCCAGGCAGTAAAGAAAAGTTAGTCAGATTGATATTGAAACATTATATGCACCACAGTGTGTTATTTTTTTTTAAATAGTCGCTATTGAAACAATTTCCCAAGAGTTGCCATAGACTTCTATCAGTAATATTTCTTAAATTAAGTGAATGCATTTTTTAAAATAATTTGATCACAGCTGTTGCATTCAAATTAACAAGTTAAGGAATTGAAGATGCCAGAGTATATGGTCACAAGGTTACATCAGGTTATTAAATAGTGTGAAACTTGCCAAGTGTCATGCAAGCATGGGTTTGTTCAGTTGTGCCTGTACAGTCGTGGTTAGTGCTTAAGTTATGAGCTCACATCCTTGTGCTACAGTGATTTGCAGGCTGATTGTTGCTGTATGCCAGATTTTTGGTTGTCCCCACTGGGTTTCAGTACGAGTAGTAGTACTAGTACAAGAGCAAGATCTGGAATTTCTGGGATGGTTGAATTTAGCATGTCATCTTCTGTGTAGCCAGACGTCTGCTCCATGTTTGCGGACTACTGAACGTTTCTAAATAACACTTTAATTAGTGAAGTTGGTGTATAGCCCTTAACTTTGAGTTGAGAGCTAAGGGACATGAGGGGACCAGCTTTTTCAGGAAATAAAAAAATTACTGTTATCTTAACCACGTGATATAATGAATAGGGGGACTTACAGGTATGTTATATACCCATTCATTTTTACAGTTAATAGCTGTTCAGGGAAGCTGAGCAAAAGGAAATTAACAGGTAGCGAACAGTGTCTCGGGTCTCTCTAACTAATGCTCAGCCTCTCAATACCCAAGATTTCTATACTTTAGGTAAGATTTCTTCCTTTATTCTTCAGGCCATTCTGGGCATTTTCAGTCATGAGGTTTTGTAGGAACAGGAGTCCAGTACAAGAGAAAAAACAAAACCTTTTTACTCTTTTATCAATAGTATTAAACTGTCCAATAGCCATGAACATTTTACTGTGCATGCTTTTGGAAAAGCCGTGTCCAGGTCTCTTTTCCAAGTGTTTTCCTGCTCTACTTGGTCACAGTAATGTGAATGGGGAATAATGCCGAACACCTCCATGTTCCATAACTGATTGGACAGTCCATTAAGTTGCTTGCAGATGCTCAACTATTGCTGCAGTTCAGGTGATGTTCCACTTGGTCCTTTCCAGGTGGTGAAATGGATGTTGTGTTACTAACTGGCAATGTCCTTCTTACTGTCTTACTCAGTGTCCCTGTCAGAGCAAAGTTCAGCGTGAGTCTGAAGTTTGAGTTGGATCCTTTGAAGGTTTCTTCAAAGGAGCTGCTGATGTTTTGGAATGTTGTATGCTTCTCATTGTTACTGTGTTCTGTATTTATTTCCCAGCCTTACCTGTGTGTGTTTTTCTTGCAGCATACGTCCCATGGAGATGGACGGCAGGAAGTTTCCTCTCGAACAGGGCGCTCTGGAGCCCGCTGCAGGAACTCTATAGCTTCCTGCGCAGATGAGCAGCCACATATTGGAAATTACAGACTCCTTAAAACGATTGGAAAGGGGAATTTTGCAAAAGTAAAACTGGCAAGGCACATCCTCACTGGCAGAGAGGTAAAGTGGTATGGACATAAACAGTAGTGAATTTAGTGAATTGCTGTAGGTATGAAGGTTCTCTTAGAATAGCAGTGTTTGTGAACATGTAGCACATTTTACTACAGATACTGCCACTGATGTAGAAAAAAATAGAAATGGGAAATGTATTTTTTTAGTAATGATTACAAAACAAGTTCTCTTGAAAATGATCTCTTAAATTTGTTTTTGACAAGTCCTTGTCCAACTAAATTGTGTTCAGGTTTGCTACTAGAATTCTCTGCCAAATCCTTCATTCTCAAAATAGGCTAAATGTATAGCAGTAAAATAAGCTTGCTGGAAAATCTGCCTCTTGTCTCTGTACTGCACAGTGCAGGGCTGGATTGGTGGGGAAGTCAGGAATGGCAACTAATATATCTTCTTGATTATGGTCCAAGTAGCCCAAATGCAGTATTTCTTGCCAAAGTGTAGTTCCCAGGCATTCTGCTGCTGCCTGCAGTGCTGGGCAGCCTTGAGAACACACTCCGGTTTGTTCAGAGCTGGTTTGTGTGTCTTGCTCAGTGTTGTGTGGTGCAGACATGCTTTCTCTTGTATCTTTATAGTGTCTAACTTCTCTCCATAATTAGTTTCTGCATGCCATTGTAATGTAATTAATAACTTGCACGTAATTATGGTTCTGATTTGGTGAGCCATAGTCCTATTTACTTGTTACAAGAAGTTGGTGCTGTTTTATAAATAGCAACTCTATGTACTGAAAGAGGGAGAAACACTTTGTTGACCTTTTCTTGCCAAACTTGTCTAATGAAGTAAATGCTGATACCAGCAAGGACTTTTAAAGAAAGCTGTGCAGCTGATGGCAGTGCTTTAAGGGAGTTTCTCTTCTCTGAGCTAATGCAGAGTTCAGTAGCTCTAGGATGAACAGAGGGGTCATCATTTTGCAGTTGTTGGGAGCCTTTTTTTTTTTTTTTAATTTGGTAAAGCTAACAGTTCTAGTGATCAGCGGTTGTCTACTGGTATTAAAGTTAGTGCTCATTTGTAGACAAAGGTTTTGACTTTACACTTAAGTGTCAGTAAAAACAGGAGGGAACTTAACACAGAAAATGCAAGTACTTGGTTAGTATTTTCTGTTATTACAGATATAGGAGTTGGAGATAGGTATTGTGTCACACATTGCTTTGCAAAAACTGAAGTAACTTCTCTTTTGTTTTCACATAACTGTGTTGACCTCTGGTTCATTGTTTTTGTTTGAAATTTCAGCCAATAAAGTGACACTGTAAAGTCTTTGTCCAGATTGGGAAAGAATTAAGTATTAATTTAGTTTAACTGTCATGGAATAGATGTCATTCAATCAATTCTGAGCATAAAAAACATTTTCCAGGACATGGCCGTTGGTCTCGGCTATGTAGAAAGAGTGGCATTCCTTTAAAGGGAATGATTAAACTAGTTTCATAGGAATATCTTGAAGACATCTTAAACTTTTTTTCTTTGTAAGAGATGTGAATAAAAGTTTCTCTTCTTGCTAGGTGAACTGTACAGTATTGATAATCATTACATATTTTAGATGTGTATGATCAGAGTTATTCACAGTATTCTCGATAACACAGGATAACTTACCCTTGCCCTTACAGGAGTATTTATCTGACCAATCTTTAGATTGTGCTAACCTTATTAATGGCTACCACATTGGTGTTTTTTGGTTGTGGTCAGCAACAGCACCTTGTACTTTGTTGAATGTCCTTTTCTTTGTTAACTCATCTCCAGAGTTATTTATATCAGTTTCCCATTGTATTTCTTGCCTTTTAACTCCAACAGACTTTATTGTTATGGTTTGACTTCCTGTGCCAAGGCCACTGGTGCAAATATAAAACAAGATTGGACCCCAGTCTTGTCCTTCAACAACTCTTACTCATTTATTTCAAACTTCATCTTTCTTTAGCCATTTCTTTTTAAATTAAAAAAAAGCTCTGTGCACATTTCAGCTTATTTAGTTCAACAGTTTCCATACATCCTCCTAAATGAGGCTTTATGGTAGTGCAGGTAGTCATGTCTTGTGTGCTTCCGCAGAGCACGTTTAACTGTAGGAAAATATGTTGCATGTAACCTTCCTGTCTGGTTCCCCATTTTTTGCCTTCAAATTTTGAGCTCAAGAATTTTGTAGTAAGTGGCTCTACTAGGGGGGGAAAAAAGTTAAGTCTAATAATTTCTAAACCTGTGCTGCCATTTTTTTCTTGATAGGTGTTAAAGGTCTGTGCTACAAAAATGCTTTTCTCTTTTTATTTAAACTTGCCACTCTTAAGAACTCCAGGATAATCTTGTCAGTCTGGCCTCAGCCAGACAGCACTCATCTTCCTGAAGTTGTGATTTTCTGCTTTATACATGTACTCATGCTGGCTGCCTTGCCTTTGCTTCTGTTTTTTTTTTCCATCTTATGTACCAAAACATAAAATAAAATTATTAGTTTGGGGAGTCACACTTAAATGAGTTTTCATCTCTGCTGTACCCTTGATATGTTTGAATCCTGCTTATCTTCTTGTTATCTCTGTGATCATTCCTAATGTTCTTTTAAGTGTCTGGTTCAGTTTCACTTCATGGCAGTTCCTACTTTATATCTCTGGACTGATTAACTTCTAAGCCATGCAGCAGATCAGCACTTCTCTGTCACTTCTTGGGAGGAGGAAATGTTTGTTGAAGCATTCTTCTAGGGTAGCTGCTCATCTCCTTACATCTGGAGTCCTTCTTTATGAATTTTCCTTTTCCTTTTTTTGAGATACAACTTTTGTTTCCAGCTGGAGTTAGTTCCAGGACTCTTTCATTTCCATCTTCAGTGTGTCTGCAGGATGCATGATGTGAGCCCAGCTTCAAATTACAGGAAGGGAGAAATGTTTAGCCCTTTTGTGGGTGATCAGAATGTAGGCCTTAACTTGAGGGGGTTGAATTGTCCTGCCAAGGACTGTGTACCCTTCTGCTCACTGCAGAGGTATGGAGGGAGGGTTAGCTTCATTGCACTAGAGCTCATGTTTGGAAGCACACTCCTTCAAGTTGCTCTTTCCCGAGAGAATTGTTTGTAGTCTGTCAGCCCTTTTGAAACCAATACTCTTCATTGTAAATCTGCTTTTCTTAATAATTTGACTTTAAGGCATCTATTTTCTGTGATAATTAATAAAAAAGTTATTTCTTCTGAAAAGTTTTCCATACTTGCCAAAATTAATCTAAAATGTGAAACTGCCTTTTGCTGTTACTGAGGTGATTGGAATCACAGCCAAAAATATATGGGTCCTTCTGTTCATAAAAGGCATGTGTTCAGTTAATAGCCAGGAAGTTGAAGTTTCCTAGTGAGAGGTTTCTTTCAGGATCCAAGTCTGATTCCAAGGAATCTGTTGTCATCTTATTTCTGCTCTTCCCTCAGAAAAAGTGAAATTTAAGAAGGAGAAAACATTCTAAATCGTAGCAGTTTTGCCAATTTGCTCAGTGTCTTAACTTCTGATTGGGGTTAACTCCCTAATTCAAGTCACGTAGGAGGAATGTTTTAAGTCATGGTATTGTGAATTGTGAAGGCAAAGTTGATTTTTAGTTCTGCTAACAGTCTCACACCGAATATCATGGCTGATGCAGCGGTGTGACAGTGTAGGTGGACTTGCCTTCCCCCAGCATTGGCCATAGCACACAGTACTTGAAACTGCCTTCCAAAGCAGGAACTTTGCTGTCTTCACACAAATTAGATCTGGAGCAAATTGATGCATTATTAGCTATGCTTGGTGAAAAGGAAAAATTTTTTTTTTTTTTCTCAGGCTTGTCAGAACTACACTTGAGGGCAGGCTGCCCTTGCCTGTAACCTGGAAACCTTATCAAGGCATCTGAAATTGTTCCCTTTTCTGATGATGGGTTCAAGCTCTCAAAGTCGGTGTTCACACATTGTACTCTCTGTTCACATGGACAGGAATTCTCTAAATACATCCTGCCTTAAAGGCTATGATTAGTGCACTGAATGGGCCTTTGAGTCTACCTTTCAGAAAACTGAGGTGTGTACCTTCCCTGTATCTCCAGGGCTGGATTTGTTTGCCAGCCTCTGAGACCTCTCATGATCTGGCACCAGTGCACAGTGCGAGAGGCGAGCCATTTCTTTTCAGAAACTAAATATCATAAGGCTTTGTGGGTTGAAAGAGGTTTATTCTTTTAAAGATTCACAGAATGGTACAGCTCAGAACACGAAAGTTTTTCTGAGTGGAATTCATTTACCAAGCAAACACTGTCTTCTGTGGTAGTGCTGGGACACCAGGTGACTGTCAGATAATGTTATCTGCTGTTGACAAGAGCAGTGGTCACTCTACATGCAGTGTGGTTTTAGAAGAGATTGCTGGGAATCAGTAAGTTTGTTACCTTTGTGACCATAGTTGGACAGGCATCACTGTAGAGATAAAAATCTTGCTTGGTTTCATACACAACCACTAATATAAAAATACCTATTGCTTAATGTGTTTATCTCTTGTTTGTATTTTTGAAGTGATTTCTCAAGGCTCTGCAATGGAATTTTGCCTCAGGAAAAAATAGTGATCTTTAATTTCAGTAGCATGCCTTAGAAGAAAATACTCCTCAAAGCAAAAGTATTCTTAGATGGCTTCTTAGTGACATCTCCTCATATCTTGCATCTAGAAGGGCTCAAAATAAATCTTGACTCCGAGTTCCAGAAAACAAAAGTCCATCACTCACAGTTCTGTGATGCGCCCGAGTGTTGAACGCTGCGTGCTGCTCTTACCCCCTCCGTCATGGTGTGGTTTTGATCCATGTGGTTTTGCACTTGAATGTAGGCATATCACTTTGCTTTGATGTAAGATGTTCTTTATTCCAAATAGTTGCAACCTCAAGTTAATGAAATTACAAAGGTAGTGTAAAGTGATGCAGGGAAAGGGGAGCTGTGGCTTGGGAAGGAGCAGCATCTACAGTTTTGAACCAAAAATTCAAGGGGAATTGAAAGCCTTTGCTTTGCACCAGTGAAGTATTATCATCAGCTGAGTTGCAGTATCTTGCCCTTTTGAGAGGCACCATCTCCTTGTCTTCTGTAGAGTTTCTTCTGGTATGTTTAGTCCCTAATTTAGAAAGGAAAAATACCAATTGGCATGTAATTCTAGAAAGATTCCAGTTTCCTGTTCTAACTCATCATGTATCCAAATTGCACTGAAGCTCTTCTCTGTTGCCTTTTCATTGCCTCAAATCTTCAGGTTCTGACTAGTTGCCATGGTACTGAATTTCTCCTTAGATTTTGTGAAAATTTTATTTTGTTCTTTAAGATTTCTGTGCAGTGTTTACTGAAGAGGTGAGAACCAGGAAAGGAATGAACTTGCCCCAAGTTTTGTACTACAGCCAATGGCTTTTTTTAATGCAGAAGTGATATTTCTTTTCATATCCAAGAGGGACCAAATTGATACAAATACTTAGTGAATTTCCAAAGGTGAACTTAGTTCTTGTAAAATCTGTGTGGAATTACTTTCAATTTGCTCTGAAAACTCTACTTTCAGAAACATCTTCACAAACTTCCAGTGTGCAGTCAGTTCTGTGTAATCTGTTGTGTAACTATGCTGTGTAACTATTATCTGTAGGCCCACTGCTCTCTATTGAGGCACTGTCTGGTATTGGCTCTTCCACTGTCATAAGTGCGATGGTCTAAGTGTCAATTAGCCATTCATTCAAAATGGGTTTAGTTTAAATATAAGTCCATAATTTGCTGAAGAAACTTGAGTGTTTTTTGTGTAATTTTCATGCTTTCTATTTCTGTCACTCAATTTGACCATCTTATAATTAACGCTGCATTGTTCATATGGAAAATACTGATTATGAACTCTTCCTTTAGGTTGCCATAAAAATAATTGACAAAACACAGCTGAACCCAACTAGTCTACAAAAGGTAGGTTTTTACATTTAATCTTTAAGCTGTACTGTAACTTGCTTGGTTTCACCACCTCCTTCCATTAACTCTGAATGCCTGTGCTGGAGAATCTGAGGCATTGCATACCTTGCACACATCTGACTACTGTATTTAATAACTAGTTTTGCAACAGATATTTTTGACAACTCTGCAGTTGTTCAAGATGAACTCGTACAGAGCTGTAAACTGAGAAAAGAGTGGTATTAGCCACTTCCTTTGGCTCCCAAGCATAGCTCACTCTACAAAGGACTTTCATGGTTTGGTGTCATGCCCCCATGCCTCCTTCAGGCTGGTCACTTTGTTAAACGTACAAACCTCATGTTCTGGCCTTGCAAATACTGCCTCTGGATTGGAGGCCAAGCAGTATCTCTCTGCCTTTCATGTAGTTTGCAGCAGGAAAGGTGGTGCAGTTTTATGGAACAAATTGTGGCACAGTTATTCTGGTTTCTTCCCTCTAGCCTGAAATGTTTAATGTGCTGTTACAGTTGTATCACCTTATCTATTTTAGTAAGTAGTGATAAATCCTACTCTTTCATCAAGCCAAGCCAGTCTGCTTTGGAAGTGACTGCAGGAAGTACATTTAAATGTCACTTTTACCTAGGACTTTTCTAACTCTGTCCTTTTTAAGTGCTGCAGTCAAAGGCTTTTTATTTACTTTTGAACACTTTGATAAAAAAAGCCCCTTGCAATATTTCTGTTTGAACAAGAGAACACCCAGAACTTACCTGCAAACAAACTAAGATAGCATAACCAGAGTAAACTGGGGAATATACACATTTGGATTTTATGCAGATACTAAAAAGATCATGTGACAAGATGCTTTTATCAAAATTAATGGTGAAAAAGTAAATTGGAAAAACACACAAGTTCTTACACTGTATGGTTTGGTTGAGAGACAAAGAACAACCTATAGAAGAAAGGCTCTGCTGTCTGTGCAGGTACCAACTTCCTACTGACTGTAGACTGTGTAAAAATAACATGGCTCCACTTTTCTCAGAATTTTTTTCAACTTAATCCCTGAGGTTGTTGGTAATTTCTGGGTAAGCAGGAAGAAAATGAAATGTAAATTAGGTATTGTGATGGATTAGATAAAGTCTATTTGTGTGGCAGATCTTTGCAACTTGGAATACCTGGGGGGGAAAAAGTTAAATGCTTAAAGCACTTGGAAGAGAAAGAAAAACTGTGTGATATGAAGGGGAGGAATCAAGGCATATGAAGAATGGTCAGAGAAGAGAAGAGAGGCTGTGTTTTCAGACAAAAATGTAAAATCTTAATCCTTCAAATGGTGTTATCTTGAGAATGGGCTATAATGTTGATTTGAGCTCATACTGAGGTACAAACCAAACCTTTTACAAGTTACAGGTGTTCAGTTGGCAAGGCCACGAGCTGGCAGTGTGCCTGCTGGCCCTTTGGGTCCTGGGTTTCAGCCTGCTCAGTGTCTGCTCTTGTCTCTGTCGTAATTTCATTTTTATTTGCAATTTATAAAACTAGATTATAAAGAGTGATTTGTAAATTGGTTTTGTCTGCACATGGGTTTCTTAAATGGGAGTCTGGAAGAACAGTGTGAAATTGGAGGGTAGAAATCAGATCAGATTCGGGGAGTGAGATTGCTAATGTGTCTCCTTCCTAAGCTCACTTGTTACATGAGCAGAGAAAAAACTTAACAGGGTGTTGCACCAGTGTTCTCAATTCAAAAATTGGGAGTAAATTTTCTTAAATGCCTCCTTGTCCTAATAAGCAGAGTGAATGCAGACAGAGCACATTACTTTGCAATTTTGCTTGATGGAAGCTTTTTCTTTTTTGGCAAACCCTTGCCCCTGTGGCCCAGCACTGTCAGCAGTGCCATAGCCTCAGTGCACTTGAAGCCAGCTGCGCACACGACCTGTAGAAGTAGGGGAAGCTAAGCTGGAAGTGCTTCTCATCCTGCAGCTCTGGAGAGAGCGATAAAGTATTTGAGGTATGGTGGGGAGGGAAGGGCTGTGCCGAGAGCAGGGTGTGGTGTGTAGTGTCTCAGCTGCGGTGTAGCTGCGTGCTCTAGTCATCCTTAGGTGGGGAGGCAAATGGTGATTAGGCGGCCAGTTCTGATTTTTTTTGTATTATGTCTTCCGCACTGATACTTCAGCTGCCAGGAAGAAATTAACCTTGTTTGGGACTTGCTTTGCTTTCTGGAGCAGTAATTCTTGGTATGCCCTCACAGTAAGCTCTGGGCGGCTGCCGGCCTGACAGCTCAATACTCAGCAGCTCTTCACAAGGGTCGGGTTTCTTGTCTGCTGCTGAGGAAGTCTGTGGTAGCCACATGCAGCTACTCCTGACTATTTAGGACCTAATTACTACTCTGCTGCTCTTGCTTAGCAAAGAGGGAACTGTAACTAGTACTTCCCAGCTTTGAAAGAAAAAGGAATTCTTAGAACTTTTTTCCCGTCGTGGTGGTATTAGTCATAGTCACTGCTCTCCACAAATGCACTTGTGTACCCAGTTCCAGTGAGTATCAGTCTCACTGGAAATAAGTGCTGATGCTACAGTAGTTCACTTCCTTCTAGACCAAAAAAAACCCTGGTGGTGTGTGTTGTTGTGTTGTTTGGGTTTTTTGTTTTGTTTTTGAATTAACAATACCTTTGTTGTTTTAGCGGTTTTTTTTGGGGGGTGGGGATGTTTGGTTTTGTTTGTTTTTTTTTACCAAGCCCATGTAATAGTACTAAAGCACTTCTCATTTTCCATTTTTAAAACTTGGCTCCTCAGCCAATATTTTTGTTCTTTATGTGCAGATGTTTTGCTGCTTGTTTGGGCCATATTTTTGTTAACACTTTTTAAAGTTCTAAACATCAATTTTAACACGGACAGTGTATTTTCTGACCATGGGGTCTATCAGTATTTTAAACACTGCAAGAAAAGGATGATAATTTTAAATGGCCAGGATTTTCAGATTATAACTAGTTGAGTTTTTTTCTGTTTTCAAGTTGTAGTTTGAGGCAAACTTCTGTTGTGTAAAGACTTCCTGCTTGAAGCCCCTAATTATATGTAGGGCATATTTCAGTGAGCAGTTATCAGGAGGAGCCTAATACACAGGTCAGACTTGATCTGGCTTGGGACAGCATCTCATGGAAAGCCCCCAGGACAGCATCTCATGGAAAGCCCCCACTTTAGGGGGCTTTATCCTGGATATATTGATGCTCTGCATTTGATGGGTGTACTGACTTGCTTTTTAGAGAACTTTTTTTCAGTATTTTGAAAATAATTTGTTACTGAAAGTCTTGCAATACCTAGTGTAGGAACGCTTTTAATCATTGTGTTTAAAAAGAGTTGGCTTAAAAGATGGGTCCTTCTTTTCCCCCCACTCCTTTGTTGTTTCAGTTGTCAGCACAATAAAGTTCAAGTATAATTAAGTCAAGATTATTACTAAGTATGTGTCTGTGCTTCCATTGCTAGTTTGTTGGTTTTTGCTCAGTTTATCAGCTAGCAGCATTAATTAAATGTAAGTCTTTCCCTGTATCTAACTTGGCCTACAGTCAAAGGACCAGACCACAACAAAGCTGAAAGCCATTTGTTTGGCAGACTAAGGATGTTTGTCTTTGCCTAGAAACATTTGTAGAGCTTCTGTTGATGGAAAATGAGCTGTTCAACAACTTGGGAATAGTTTTTAATCTCAGTATTAGAAATTTAACTGATAAGCAATGTTTTCAGTTGGTTGTCTGCCTTTACGGGCTCACTCGTAAGCTGCTAAAACTAAGAAAACTATTTTCTGTATCGAGAACCTTCGCAATACATCTTGTGATGTTAGACCTTCTTTTGCATTCCTCTGGCAGAGACCTTCAGGTGTGTGGGTTTTTTTCATACCTGGCTGCTTGCTCTAAATTTTACGGTGTGATGATAATTACTACTTGATCTCCTAAAAGTTGATTAACATAATATTTTGGGCGAGTGAAATCTGGGAAATCTGTTTTTCAGCGTACTATGTGAAAGTTGTATGATGTTCTACATTGGATTCCTTCGTCAGAAATAGACTATGCTACATAATACAATGTCAGGCATTTCCAGATAGCCTTGTTAGGGTGGCTGTCTGTGTCAAAATGCCACACATAGCATTTAAACTGAGGAGGGGAGCACAGTCAGAAGTGCGTTTAACTAAAATTATGATAAAGAATTTTGTGGTGATTGTGTACTAGTCAAGTATTTAGACCATCAAATTGTGCAGTGTACAATGGAGGAAGTAGCTAGCTCCAGCCAAGTCAGCATACTTTATTGGAAAAAAATAAATTGGAGTAATGAATATTTTCATTTACATGATATTGTGAATTGAGCCTCATTTTTACTGTCGTCTTCTGTGTAGCCCTTGGTTGACTGTTCTTGTTTGGCGGCACCGATTATGACTGCCTGTATTCCCATACTTAATCCTATGAATGTATCTTTTTTTTTTGGTGGGTGAGCTGATGATAAATAGGCTAATGGCTGAATAACAGCCAAGGTCTTCATTGATGCAGCAGTGGAGTTGCCATTGGTGAGAGCCTGACCTAGTAGGCTTTATCTGAGTATTGGGTATGGAAGAGATCAGCAATCAAGAGCAAATTAAACTGTCTTCAAAACTTTCAGGGCTGACCAGAGGCTTTTAGTTACACAAGCTGTGATTAAAAGTATTAATGGAGTATTTAATGTGTATTATATACCAGTTCGGCTGAAATGAAGCAAAAATAACAAGAAAATAGCTATAGGTTCAACTGCTTTTACGTTTCTGATGATCAGAAAGAGATTAAGTAATCTACCTTGTCTAATTATATATGCAAAAAAACTCTAGGAATAACAGAGTTTAAAAAAAAAAGGCAATTTACTTACTTCTCTGGAGGAAGAAGGGAAAAAAATGTGAAACGCATGCCTAGGTTTTGAAACTACTTTGCATGATCAGAAATTTACTTGATCAATGAACCTGGATTGCCTTTAAGCAGCTTGTCATCTAGTGAAGTGTCAGACACAGACCTGGATCATGAAAATAAGATAATGCAAAGTATTTGGAAAACTGTTTTTACTCTGTGTTCAGGCCAAGTGCTGTTCACAACTGTGGCTGTAGCATGGAGGAGGTGTGCTGGGAGGACTGCTCCCCAAACCTTAGTCTTTACAGAATCATCAGAAAGCAAAAAATAGAACAACTGATATACAAATTGTGATTGATTTTTTTTTTTTCCTATTTCAGTCTCAGCCACTGCATTCCCTTTTAATAAAAGACAAAAAGGCACAAGTTTTTTTTCTTGACTGTCTTGCTGTTTTCTGTTTTTCCTATATATCACACCTGCACACTTTTGAGTCATTAGTAATATGTGTAGATGTATTAAATGTCTTCACTTTATCTAAAATCTGACCTGTGGCAAATCTTGCAGCAGCAGTTTTTGTTTTCTTACTGTTAATAGCAATGCTGTTATCTCTGATTTATAAAATTCCTCTGTTCCCCCGTGTCTGCATTCCTGTGGAGCTGTGGCCTTTCATTCTCCTTCAGTCTTTCTACATTCAGTTCTATCTGATATGTTACGTCACCAGTATTCCTCTAGAAATAGGTGCTAGGTTTATAATACAACCTTGATTACTCCCTCTTTTTGAAGTATGCTGTTGGAAAATAATCAAAGCTGAAGAGTGTCAGCCCTCTGGAGTCTTGGGCTAGTATGGGGGAGCTGCAGAGGGAGAACAGTGACACACTTGACTGCCATATACTGTGCTGCCTAAAAGATTATTCTTCAGGTTTTCTAAATGCAATAGTATTTGCACTTCAAGTTTTTTTGAGGGGAAAAGCAAAACACAAACAAACCAAACCAAAACCAAAAAAACAACCTTTCATTATTTCAGCAGTAACCACACCCGTGGCATTTTTAGTATTACACTTAAGGATTTATGTGCATCTTATAATTGCAAAAGAGTGTTCAGAAGTTAAAATAGTTAACAGCTAGCTGATCAGTAACAGATTTTGCTTTCACTTGTGATGTGTTCAATGTCATTTGTGTGTTATCCAGTTGCAGGAGGACAGAGTTTACTGTGTGATAGGTGAAGCTGAGCTCTTTGGGAATAACTACTTGAGCAACACCTTCTTTACCTCGGTATTGGTCTTGGGGGGGCGTGGAGAACAAGACCTTTACTTGCGGTCTCTGGACACAACACCAATGATGTAATGTCATGCTGCAGCTTGAAACAGGCAGTTGTACTCCCTCACCACCCATCCTGCCGAAACAGATGTGCTGGGGTGGGCAAGGAGCTACAACAGAAAACTTAGAGATGGAGTGGTTTATTTGGGGGAGTTGTGTTTTCTGTGACGTTTTTCTGTTAAATTCATGCCCATCTGTCTGGGTTAACACTAGTGTTTGCCTAATGGGCAGTGGTACGATCCTGTTGCAGAGAGGGTGGGATTAGGCTGATCCCTCTGGGACTCCTCCTGAAGTGATGTCTGCTGGGGTCGAGAAAACACCGTTTGTGTTCTGCCATATTAATCTTGCCAGGTACATCCAGTGTGTTGTTCTGGCTGAGCAGGCTTGGAGGCTGGGTGTCTGGCAGTGACTCGGTGGAGCTGGGGCGATGAACCCAGGGCTTGGTGCTGCTCCGCCTCAGTTGCCTCGCAGGAGCAATTCTGAAGGGCTGAGGGGCATGCCTCCCTGTGTCTTCTTAAGCCATGCTCCTTGCTGGTGTGGTTGTGTAACATACTTTTTGTGCATTAGAGGCAGCTTATGTTTTACCTGTGAGTTCCTGTTGTAGCACAGTTGTTTGTGTTATTCTGTGGCTTTAACAAAGTACGAGAGATGAATTCGTACTAGTAATGTAGTGCAGGGGTCTTCAAAAAGTGTTCTGGAGGAGGTTCACAAAACTTTGGAAACGGTGCTTTCTGTGAAGGAGTTGAGAGATGGTGTGAGATGTACTGACCAGCAAGATGTGTGGTCTCAACATAGTCTTCTGGCCCCAGAAGTCTGCGAACAGCAGAGCTCAGATCTCTCCTGAGTTATCTGTATCTCTTTGTGAGTGTTTTCAGGTTTCTGAGGGTTGATTTGTTTGGGGAGGGGGTGTTACAAGAAGTAGACACTTAACTCTTTCCTCCAATAAAGGCATATTAAACTTCATTGAAATGGTAATAGTAATGTTTGCTTTTTTTGTTTAAGTATATTAGAATGGTCAGGCTTTAGAAAGAGTTGGTGTTACCTATTTCATTAACTCATTTCATGTTTTATGTTTATTTCAGCTCTTTAGAGAAGTAAGAATAATGAAGATCTTAAATCATCCCAATATAGGTACCTTGTTTCTTTCACATAATTTCCAACTGTGGAGAAATTTTAGCTTTTTCACTGTTAAAATTGCTGTGGTATGAATATAAAAGGTGATTCTGCACTGGAGTATAGATTTACTGTAAAGCAGCAGTAATAAACAAAAAAACAACCCTCCCCACCCCCCAAAAAAAAGTTTTTGGTCATTTTGCACAAAACTATTTGCATAGCTAACTGATAATGTTGCTCCTTTCAAGTACACTACTGATTTTGATTGAATTTAGGCTCCCATTAAAAATAAGCATATACTAAAGCCAAGAAGTGGTGAAGAAATCATTCAGGATTTTACATTTGAGTGCTGTGGTATTGTTCCAGGACTGTCAGCAAACTGACTGATAACACATTTGTCACCATATATATGCCAGTTCAGTGCATAAAAGTGGCTATTGCTGATGCTCAAATCTATCGAAGTTCTGCTTAATTTAGTTGCTTTTCCCATGTAACAAAGTATTGTTTCTTGGGAAAATGTTGTTCTGCATGAGTTGACCTAATATCTTCAAGTATTTTCCATTTAGGAACAACAGACGTAAAAAGCTTGCTTAGAGTAATGGTCTGATATTGTTAAGCAGCAAGCAAATGGTTGGGGTTTTTCCTCTGACAGAATTCTCTGCGGGGTTAACATAATACTTCTGCAACTAGTTAAGTGATTAATAAATGTCTCTCTTCTTTAGTGAAGCTATTTGAAGTTATTGAAACTGAAAAAACTCTCTATTTAATCATGGAATATGCAAGTGGGGGTAAGTACTTCTCTCCTTTGGTGACCCATGTAAACAGATTGCCAAGTAAGAGAAAACACTTGTTTTCTTTGAAGTTTTGCTTTCTTTTTCAGCAAATATTAATGCCATGGTAGTGTAAAATATGAAGGAAAATCTTTAATATTCTGTGGGACATCTTTGGGCAACATAATTAATTATAACTTGTAAAAGCAGCTTCTGAGCTTATTGCAACGTAATAACATTTACTTTGTTTCCACAACTCAAATTTAGTGGGACTCGTTACTTGGCCATAGGTTGTTCCTGTCCATAACAAATGTCAGTCTTCTCAATTTATTGTATTCAGCTCCCTTCCTCTGGTATCCTATTTTGTATAAGATATTTGGTAAAAACATACTCAGAAACATTTTGTATTTCTTCAGCTGTTGTTTTCAAAGGCATGAGTACTGGAACTTCTGTTCTTTAGGTGTTTGTGACATTTGGCATATCTTAATCACAGACTTCTATTGTCAAGAGTTGTTAGGCTTAGCCTTATGCCATTTTAGGAAGAACTTAAATATTTACTCATGATTGCGAGGGGGCGGGGAAGCATGCACCATGCAATGTCAGGTATTTTCACCACAGCTAGAATTAAGCTATTTGGGCTTAAGTTACTCCTTGCTGACTAAAATGTAATAGTACTCAGTTTGTCAATGTGACCCTTGAGCATCAGCAGCTGGGAATCTCAAATAGGCTTTTCTTTAGTTTTGGGAGGGAGATCAGAGACTTCTTTTTGGAGAAAATTGGTGTTGAATTCTGACTCTGATGTTAGATTGCATGAAGTTTAATGAATTGCTGTAAATCAAGTAATGGTTCTCTACCTGTCTGTGTTTTATTTCTAGTAGTTCCTTAAATGCTCAGGCAAGATTTGGCTAAACAGAAACAAAACTGGTAAAATACCATTAAAAAATTGTCTACTAGAGGTGTTTGTGAAGGCACTTCCACTCTTTGGTGGTGCTAGACTTAAAAGTGAAGTCCTGTTGCCATCTAGTGATTAGCTTCTTGGAGGTAAAAGAGCCAGTGGTTCTCTAAAGCAGTGAGGATCTTTCTTAGGGTAATGGAGAGATAAATGCTGTACTGCTCTAAAAGGCCATGAGCAAGTACCCTTTGCATGTGAATCTCTGGTAATCTCAGTGACAGGCATCAGTTTACCATATTTCCTCTTTATCAAGATACTGGTCACACATGACATGTTTGAACTCTGGCTGAATGGATGAAGGAGTCTATTGCTACAGCTGCAACACTTTGCATAAATTGGGGATAACTCCTCTGGTGTTGTTTTCCATTAACTGAGTAGAAGTGTTCACGTTTATTCCTTCAAGGTTTTGAAGAAACAGCTGTGAAATACAGCTGAGAGAGTTATCCGAGTTGCATATTGAATAATACACTACAGATCTTTAGTACTGCTTTAGTAATCTGCTTTAGTCATCCACAGTCCTAGAACACTGGGCCTGTTCTGGAGTAGTCCTTCTGAGTGTATCTTACAGACCTGATGGCTGTGTGATGGATTATGTCAACGTGTTCTCTTGTGCTCATTATTGTGATCTTCCTTGTGGGTACCTCTTCCAAGCCTAGCTTAAAGATTTCTGATTTTGGTTAGAACAATTTTATACATATGCACAAAGAAAAATTCTAGTGCTGGTATGACAGTATTTACAAATATTATCAGATGTTCTCAAATATAAAGGGTTTCTTTTGTGGGCCCAAAGAAACCAATGTGAGAGAGACTGTGAAGGGGTATACGTAATTTTTATTTACAAACCAGAAGTATGCTGCACAGTTTCTGTCATAAATAATTGGAAGGAAATGGGGAGTTTGTATCCAGTCATTCATTAAGTCTTACTGTTTTCTTGTAGAAGAGATGATGGTGTAGTAAATTGCACAGCAGTTGTGCCTCAAAACCTGTAATCATAAACTTGAAGTACAGTCATTCTAGCGAAGCGGCTGTGGACAACTCCTAGAGAGGGACCTCTAGATCCTGAAATTGGCAATAATTTATCTCGTTATTGAATTGTAGGGGAAGTGTTTGACTATCTGGTTGCACATGGAAGAATGAAGGAAAAGGAGGCTAGAGCTAAATTTAGACAGGTATGTATAACATTCCCATACATCAGCTTTTTCCCCTCCTTTTTTTAATGCTGAAATGAGTGAAATTGCTGTCCTTTGCATTTGCCTTCTAACAGTGTTCAGCATGTTGTGGACTTGTAGACCTGAGTGAGAAAGAACTTGGGTTACAGTAGTACTTGAAGGGGTTGGTAGTCAGTCCATTCAGTGGAGCTAGTTTCCTTAGTGCTGTGTGCCAGGGTGTCCAGGAGTGCCAGAACACACTGACTGTTTGATTTGGAAGTGTTTTCCATTCCAAAATGCATTTCCTTTGGGTTGATTTCTTATATCCTTGGTTCAGCTGGTCTGTAACATTTTGGAAGTTATTCAAATATAACAGGCTACAAACAGGCCAGTTTCAAAAAGCTGTAACATGGATCCATTCACATCCATCTGCTTATATGAAATGATGCAGTTTAATAGTTGTTCTGAAAAGTCAAATATAAGTAATTTCTAGGCTTTTTAGTGTAACTTTCTTTGTTAGTTAAACTAGTCCTGCAAAGATGTTGGAATTTACTGATCTGTAAATAGCATCTCCGTTCTACAGTAAAGCAGTATTGAACATAAACAGATATTTTTGCATAACTAATTTTAAACCAAATCTCTGCACTAGTAGTATCTAGAGTTTCATTTGCAGATCTGACTGGTCTGAAACATTTTTTTCTGCTCTTGTGCAGAAATTTCTAAATGCCCACACAGTTTCCATCCCTTTGGTCACTTGGATAACCTAGATAATGTTGTGAAAAGTAATAAATATCAAAATTATGTTCCTGTTTAATGACACTTTAAAATAATGAATAGAGACAAGTGTTTTATTGAATGATAGGTGGGGTGAATTGTGGCAATGATGTGACAGTTCCAGTGTTGGAGGAGGAGGCTCCAATAGCTTCCCTTCTAAAGTTAGCCATACGAAAGTAGAAGAAATTCTATATAATACATGAAACTTCCAGGAATTTAATTGATGACTTTCACAAAATGCCTTGTAAAGAAAAATTTTACACTTCTTTAGTGTGGATAGTGTGACTGAAAGGAACAGTTTGGAAACCAGGAAACTGCCACAGCTGTATCTTATAGCAAGAATTGTGTGGAACAGTATAAGTAATGAGCTAAAAGGTAGCAATGAAAATAAAGAAAAAATAGAAATATATTTAACCCAATGTAAGGAGGCATTTCTGTGAAGTCCTTGGTCCTTTGTTTTCTCTCATCTATTTAAATCTTTTTTTTTACCCTCTTTAATCATTTGAGTGGGGGGGAGGGCACAAAAAAAAAGGCAAAACTGCCGAAGACCAAACCAACCAATACCAAAAAAAAAGCAGATGCAGACTTCATATCCCCAGAAGTGATTTTCGTTTACTGGAGTTATACAGCTTCAGAATAAGGAAAATTTTTCTTCCTCTTTCACAAAATCTTACATATCTTTTTAAAGGTGCTTCTCTCCCTTTCGTATTCCAGCAGGTAGAGAACTTTCCTTTGTGACTGAGGGTTTGTGGTATGTGTTTCTGTGCTGTGTTGGAGGAGATGTGATGGGTTGTGGAGCAGTTGTTCCCACTTCAGCCATCTCTTCTAAATCTCAGACTGTTGCCTTGCTCTTTGTAATATCACTTGAACAACTTCAGAGCAACTCAAGAGGGTTTGCTGTTCTTTCTGAAGTGAATGTTGAAAACTTCTGCTGGTATGGTTCTCTGCTCGTCATTCTCAGTTTCTTTTATCAGGAGCTGTGTGGAAAAAGATCTTGTAGTAATTCCATTGAAATTGCACATTTGTTAAATGATAACCTGTTTGGTTTATTGGTTTTTTGGTCTTTTTTTTCTGAACAATTTGGCTCCCCTTTACATGAAAACTTGTGGAAACAGGTCAAACATGTTTTACAGGTATACTTAGTACTTAATTTCATGGGATAATGTGGTTAATAGGGGATATATGTAACTTCATTTTTCAAAAACAGATGTGAAGATGAAGAATTTAAAAGGTAAATACCTGCTGAGCTGGGTATTTGGTCCATCAAGATATTTGGGTATCTTTGTGTACTTCAGATTCTCAGCTGGATTTCACTTCAGTAGACTGTTGCCTGTGAAGACGTATAGATGGCCTCATTTGAATCTGCTGAAATACAGAAGTATCTTTTCAGTTTCATCTCATAAGTCTTGTCTCCTGGCACAGGGAGCTGTGCTCTGTCCTCCCTCAACAACTGACTTCCTAGCTACCAAGCTCAACCAATTTTAGAGGACCTTCCTCTTAAAAATCTGAGGTTCTTGAGAGCTTCAAAAGCATGAGCACCTAGGGAAAAAAGAGAGAACCCTGGTACCAACACAAGGCTATAAGCTGTAGGGTGAGCTCGTTGTGCTTTGCTAGAGAGAAGAGCATGTGTCCAGGACAGAGGTCAGGCAACTGAGGTCAGAGCTTGGCATTTATTAGATGCTAGAACTGTGTCTGTGGGACACTGTCAAAGGAAACTAGATTGTAACTGAGTTTACAGGTCTTAAAACTATTCACTTCTCTTTACTGTAGTCCCAGAATAGCTTTATATAGCTTTTAGCCATTGTTGGAAGCAGAGTGCTCACTGTGGACCTTTTATCTGAATCAATGCAGCTGTTCTTAAGTTAAAGAGACTTGTGACATAATAGATTTTTTTTTTAATATATAATTTGCTGACTGGTTTAACAGATGGTGGCTCTCTTTAAATTGAAGAAACAGTTGTGCCAGTGTGTGAACTTAGTTCTTGCAATAGATTGTATTAGATCTTTTTTTCATCTTTCATTAGATGTGATTTGTGGATCAAACACTGTTTTAACTGAGGAGGCATGTCCTTTCTAGCAGGCAAAGAGCAGAATTTGCTAATTCTTCCCTTTTGCTTGTTAAAAAAAAATAGTAATTTTTTTTTTGTCTATTTTATTACTTATGCTTAAGGAAAAAGAATGTAAAAGACAGTGATCATATTATTCCAGTCACACTTGACAAGGAACTCAGGAGAGGGTGTTAACACTAAAAATACAGCCATGCTCTGCAGGTCTCTACTTCAAACTCCTTGTCTGCAGCCATGTGTGAGAAATTAAAATCCAGAATGTTTTCCATTCTTGATGTCACCTTGGTTTTATTCTCTTATTACAGGCTTCCAAGCAGTTCTGATGCAATCTTACTGTCCTTTTTCCATAGAAAAATCTGCCCATCTGGATAAGAATTAATGCAAAAATGGGAAGCCAAGACTCGAGGCAGAGGGTGTCCCAAAATCCATGTGTGTTAATTCCTTCTTTTCCTTTACTGCAGCCAATTAGATCTGGCCTCCCTCAGTATTCCTACTGTATCCCTGCAGAAGGAGCTTAGAACTTTCAATGATGGTAGTTGTTGGGACAGATCTTGGGTAATTTGGAAGGGTAAAAAAAAAAAAAAAAACCGCCCATAAAATACATCTTACCTCTATGTTCCAGTTTTGAAACAAAATACTAGAGGCATTGTGGAAGGGACCTTGAGAAGTCATTTATCTACCCTTTTGTCATTTAATCCTTAAGAATGGTTTCTCTGCCTAGAGATAACTTGTTCTAACTTGTTCTTTAAAACCTGTGATTATACAGATTTTTGAAATCCCTTCCAAGAAATGTATTTCAGTGCTCCAGTTGTTATCTCTAGCAAAAATATCTGCTGGTTCTTTCCCTCTTCTCTCCACCTGCCAAGCGTCAGCAGATTTCTCACACTCGAGTGGGGAGGGGGCTGTCAATGGAAACAGTGATGGAAGGTGGAAGATGAGCGAGTCAGTCCAGTGCAGCCATGCTGTGTGCTATTTTTCATTTAGTTATGACTGCTGTTCTTCAATTATTAATGTCATATCCATGGTATTATTTCCCTTCCATTTAGATTGGACTCAGTTCTGCAGTCTCTGTGCTATCCTGTTGCAGTGCAGAGTAATTCAGAAGCATCTCCAAAGGAAACTACTGATTGATTATCTGCTTCACCATCCGCTCTTAGAGTAAAAGCAGTTTGGGAGTGACTGGTATAGTGCTGGGTCTCTGCAGTCCCAAGTGAAGCTTTGAAGTGTTTTGTCATGCTGTCAACCTTGGAAGCCTCTGCAGAGTCAGGTTGCGACTGGCACTCAAGTAATGGTAGTAGAGAGAAAAGGAAGGAAAATCCAAAAGGTGGTGCAGGTGGTAGCATGGGAGCATGTTGGTGGTTTCTGTAACTGTAAAAAGCTGAATTTAGTCTGGAATCATAGAATGGTTTGGATTGGAAGGGACCTTTAAGGGTCATTTAGTCCAACCCCCTTGCAGTAAGCAGGGACATCTTTAACTAGATGAGGTTGCTCAGAACCTGGTCCAACCTGACCTTGTATGTTTCCAGAGATGGGGCATCGACCACCTCTCTGGGCAACCTTGGCCAGCATTTCACCACCCTCAGCATAAAAAATTTCTTCCATCTACTCTAAGTACACCCTCTTCTAGTTTAAAACCATCACTCCTTGTCCTGTCACAACAGGCCCTGCTCTAAAGACTGTCCTCATCTTTTTATATAGGCCCCCTTAAAATACTGAGAGGCCACAATTAGGTCTCCCTGGAGCCTTCTCCAGGCTAAACAACCCCAACCTTTTTTCATAGGAGAGGTGTTCAAGCCGTCTGTCGATTTTTGTGGCCCTCCTCTGGGGGAGGAAGGAGATAACACAAAGAGGAACAAGTGAAGGAAGAATGCAAGCATAAGGAATGGAACTATTTCAACTTTTCATAGACCGCTTGGTTTCTAAGGTGGCATTTTGCACATGCACAATTCAGTAATACAGGGGCAGCACAAAGATGATAACATTGGTGCTTAAGTTTTGAATTCAAAATTAACTGGTAGGTCGTGTCTTTGACCTACCAAGAACCTTACTGCCACCTACTCTAAATACTGGGAGAGGGAAACATTACTTCTTATCAGTACAGGAAGATCCTTATGCTGACTGGTCTGATCATGAGTTATTTCCTGTTAACAGTAATGGTACCTCATCTTTCTGTGTTGGAAATCCTAATCTTGGATGAAGAACAGAAAGACATTTTGTTTAAATGTGTTTATTATGATAAATTATATTTTTGTGCAGTTCTGCTTACTTCAAGAACTCATAGCAACTACCTCAATTCTGACCATGTGTGCATGACAGTTAAATGCATTTGATTGCAGTAGTGGTGATGTGACAGTAAGACTTCATCCAGCTTTTCCATATGTGTCAAGTTATGGCTCTAGAGCAATCTACTAGGATATTGTACTGTGTAAGTAGCTTCTATAGTTTGTCCTATAAAGCAGGAAAAGCTTAATGGTATTTGGAAATTATGGTGGAAGAAATTTAACACTTCAGAGACAGATTTTTTTCCACTGGGCTTGCTACTCTTGTACAATATCCAAAATAGAATAAACCATATGCACTTAGACAGCAGACCTGTCTCAGATGCATAGTTACTTCTCATTGCTTAAGTTTTGACAAAGAAGCTGTTTCTTCCCAGTAGCTTCTCCAGTAGCTAAAAATGTTTCTTACCTTTTTTTTCATGCTGCAGCATGAAGGATCACCTTTGGAGAAGGACTGGAAAACTTCAGTCTAGAGGGAGAGTTTTGTAGCTATATACAGTATTGGAATGGAAATACTTCAGTCACCTTTCTGAAAGTCATTGCTTCTACTAATCTATAATTAGCCACACAGGAAAAACAAAATCCTCTTTCAAGTATAGTAGAAAGCAAATAGATCAAATAACAAACACTTACTTAGCAGCTTTTCCCCAAATACGCTGGTCACTGTAATAGTTGTTTACGTAGCTCTGAGTGGATAAGTACATGTCAACTTTATTACTAAATGTTGAGCTTTTTGATAAAAATGTATGTTTTCTTTGAGATGTCACTTACATAATTTGGCTTGTTTTCTATCCAGATAGTATCTGCAGTGCAGTATTGCCATCAAAAGCATATTGTTCACAGAGATCTCAAGGTGAGTAGGAAAAAGTGTGATATGTGTGTCAGCTTCTGTACCTGTGGGTGTGATCTTCATTGTGCTGATAGACTATAGTGTTTATTAAGCTTTCTAATTTACTTACTTCTTTGCATGTGTATAGCAAGTTTTGAGGAATCTTTACAGTATAGAACCATTTCAAATGGAGGAAGGGGTTTATAAGGCTTTTAAGTACAGAAATTGAATGGCTGCTGAAAGATAGCCTCTCACCCCATGGTCAGATTCAAATCTGATGCAGGCAGGGTTCGTTGGCTCAGGGATCTTTTGTTTTTGTTGTTTTGTTGTTTTTTTTTTTTAAATGTAGTTTGATACAGGCATGACAAGTTCTGGTCTCAGACAATGGATTACCAGTTGTGATGGTGAAATTTAAGTCTGACTTCTTTGTAGCTTGGCGTTTAATGGTATATTCCTTCTTAAAACTGTGCCCTTCATATTAGTTGTGTTGTCACATAACTTGTTCAACATATCACAGCTTTGTATCTTTGCAATTAAAAAACAAAACAAAACAAAACAAAACTGAAAAAAGCTCCCATAGTCTGAAGCCATTATACAGGCATTTTTTAAGTAGGTGCTATATGAATGATAGACTAAAGTATATTGTAAAGACCTTGCAAGGAAGGAAGGGAATGTTAAGAGTTATTTCAGCTTTTTACCTTTTAAGCATGAGTGAAAACAGACAGTAGCATTCTAAATCAAGTATTTTAAGTTCATCTTACTAAACCATTTTCTCCCTTCCAGGCTGAAAATCTATTGCTAGATGCAGATATGAACATTAAAATAGCTGACTTTGGTTTTAGCAATGAATTTACAGTTGGAAATAAACTGGACACCTTTTGTGGCAGCCCACCATATGCTGCTCCAGAGCTCTTTCAAGGGAAGAAATATGATGGACCTGAAGTAGATGTTTGGAGTTTAGGTGTTATTCTTTATACTCTTGTAAGTGGATCTCTTCCCTTCGATGGACAGAACTTAAAGGTGTGTTTATGTAGAACATTTTGGGCATATTTATCTAACATTTTAAGTGATATGCTGCTTAAAACTTACTGTTTCTGTTACCAAGGAACTGAGAGAAAGAGTGCTAAGGGGGAAATACAGGATTCCTTTCTACATGTCCACAGACTGTGAAAACCTCCTCAAGCGTTTCCTGGTGCTAAACCCAACAAAAAGAGGCACTCTAGAGGTAATGGCACAAATAAGGTGAATCACAAGGCTAGACATTGTATTTTGCAAACTGTATTTTTGATCTCTCACTTATTATTGTCATACTGTTCCTGAACAGTTCATTTGGAGTGGGTTTGGGAGGGGGAGATGCTCAGTACAGTATGTTATGTGACTTGAAGATTTTGTTTACTGGGGTTCTAAGACACCTGACTCCACAGTTACATTCAAAATGAATGTGACACTACACTGCATATATCATCCAACTTTTCCTCATGGTTACCTTGTTGATTCCTTCATTAATGGATGATCCACCAGGATGCCTTCCACATTTTCAAGTGTAAACTGGAAGTATTGGCTACTAGGTTATAATGTGGCTGCCTTTTGCCTGCATTTTGTACTATCATGGAGGAGAAAGGCCAAAACCATACTGGCTTTTATGGACTTCTGTACTTGAGCCTGGACCTGATGGACTTGTCAGAGCTGTTGCACTGCTTCTGGTCTGTATTATGGGTTTTTAGCTTTCAGCTATGTGAGAGAATGCAGCTGACTGAGAAGCAGCTTGGCTTGATATGCATAGCTGATTCTCCTCACTGGAGCAAAACAGAACTGAGTGGGTCCTGTGGCCTGTTCTGGAAAATAAAAATTAGAAAAGGCCTTAGTGTTTGGTAGATAGTGGAGCTGTTCTTTCAACAGCTTGTTTTCTTTGCTGGTAAGTGTTTTGTACTAATAAACCTCTTTCTTTTACAGCAAATTATGAAGGATAGGTGGATCAATGCGGGGCATGAGGAGGATGAACTTAAACCTTTTGTTGAACCAGAATTAGACATCTCAGACCAGAAAAGAATAGGTAATGAAGTATTTTTCAGAATATGATCCTGTTTGCTTGATGTGGGTGGGGTTTCATTTCTCTACCACTCTGTGTTTGCCATTTGGAAAAAGTAAATAATCTTTTTTAATATTGAGATATCATCAGGAGTTTGTTCTTACACTTAATCATTTTGTTTAATTCTTTAAACATGTTCCATTCTTTCTCTTGAACTTAGCCAGCCTAAACATCAGAGTGTTTGTTACTTACAGAATCTGTGTTTGGTTTTAGATATTATGGTAGGAATGGGATATTCTCAAGAAGAAATTCAAGAATCCCTTAGTAAAATGAAGTATGATGAAATCACTGCTACATACTTACTGTTAGGAAGGAAATCATCAGAGGTAAGTCCCATTCTCAGAAATGCAAAGAAACAAAGGAATTAGAAAGTGTCCTTAAGCTAGGTTAGAAATCGTCAGTAACTATGGGCATTGCATTCATGCACAGAAGTCCATTACACTTAAAATTACATTATTCTAATCAGTGTCAGCTGTCCAAATGATGCTGTGTTTGTTTTCACCCTGATCTGAGTCAGTAAACTCTTGCCTTTAGGCTCCTCAAAACCACCCTGCTTGCTCAGCAGTTACTTCTGTGAAGGACTTTGTATGCCAGTTGCTGTCCTGTCTAGTCAGGAATGTGCCAGCTGTAAATATATATTATGAGAACCAAGAATCAGGACCAGTCAACCTAATAAAGTTCTTGCATTGTAGATTGCCTCTCCATATGATGCTGAGAGGGCTCTGTGTCAGTAAGCTTCTCTTGATTCCTCTGCTGGAGGAGTTAGCGTGGTGGCTTCTAAGAAATGTATCCTCTCTTCTTGTTAAAATCTTAGGAGAGAGTACTGAAAGTAGAGATGGATTTTATCTGATTGTCCTTTCAGGAGCTGCAGATTCAGCTGAGTTTTACCTAAGACAGTTGCACAAGAATCTAAGAAGTTGAGGCCTCTAAATAACTTCCTTACTGTCACAGTATTTCCAATGTACCAGAGCCATCTTCCTTCTGCTCCCATAATGTGGTGGATATTTATGATGTTTTGTCTGAACTCCTTGTTTTAATATTCTCATTTGTATTGTAGTTGGATGCAAGTGATTCAAGCTCCAGCAGCAATCTTTCACTTGCCAAGGTTAGGCCAAGTAGTGATCTTAACAATAGCACTGGACAATCTCCTCATCACAAAGTTCAGAGAAGCATATCTTCTAGCCAGAAACAGCGGCGGTACAGTGATCACGGTGAGCAGTTCTCATTCTCAGTGTTGCAGAGTACAGTGGCTTACAGTTCTGTTCCGTTTCTGATATTGTCTTCATCTGCCAAAGGCAGGAAGTGTGACCACAGTGTAGCTCACAGCATGGTGGTTAAATGGTTTACTGCATAACTAATATTATTTTAAAATTAGTTTTGTTGTAAAACCTTCAAAAACATCTTCTGGAGGAATGGTGAGTACACCAGCTTAGTTTTACTCTGCCTTGTGTTGGCCCTTCCATTCCTGAATGTGCTGGGAAAGTCTTGTTGCACAAATTGAAGACAATTTTGCAACCCTCTTTTTCATGAACAGCACAGCACTCCTCCCCCATGCTCTTGTATGTCTGCTCAGCTTTTGTTTTCTTTTGATGCTAGTAGGTCAGCTTGTGTCTAAAACTTGGAAGAAATGTCAGCTTGCCAATATTTCTCGTTTCCTGTATCCTGAGGGTAGTGTCACTTGATTATCTTGCAAGAATTGAATTTCTGAAGAGCAGTAACTTAGACAAACTTCGAACTCTACTGCTTAATGAGTGTCTGAGATGGTAGCTTAGGATTCTCTAAATATCTTAAATGTTTTCCTGTTCAGACTCTAACTCATAGAAGCAGTCTCTGTTTAGGTCTGCTTAATTCTTAAATATCTCAGGGGCATTTGGAGGTTGCATTACTTGGTGAATCTTCCTGGGATGGCAGTTACTGTGTTTTGTGATGCTTTTATATATATATATATTAAAGAATCATGGAATGGTTTGGATTGGAAGGTACCTTAAAGATCACTTAGTTCTAACCCAAACATATGTATATAATGTATTTATGTCTTCTGTATATACGTAAAATATATTTTATGTGTGTGTAGATATATGCTTTCTGATTAACTGTCACTAAAACACTAACTACAAAGTTGATATATCTTGATGCATCCTTCTGAGGAGGCGTAACTGAGATGGCAGAAAACAATCCTGACATCCTCAAAGCCTTTCCTGTGTCCAGAAACCTATTAAAGCAAGAGGGAGCTGGAGGGGACTGTTGAAGGGACTGCCTCATTCTCAAGTGTTTGGCAGTTTCCTGCTCCTGGCATGCCTGGGGAGGCTGCTGGCAAACTGCTGCTTTTTCTGGGCTGTTCCAGGAGTGGAGCCCGCCAGCCATTAACACAGCTGGTGGTCCAGAGTTGTGTTACGAGGTACCTGCCTTGGGAGCCTGGTTTTATCAGAAATTGGCTTGAGCAGCATGTGCCAGCTTTGTGCTAGTGAAGGACTCTCTGGTTTGAATGAGTCAGTTACTTGTTAAGTGTTTTAAGATGACAAAGCCAAATTTAACTTGAGAAGCCAGACCAGTGTCAGTATTCAAAACACCAGAAGCCTCCATGAAATTCATACTTCTTTCATGGAAATAAGAAGTATATCCACCTGGAATTGTTTTTGGTTTTCACAATATTTTGTTGTCTTCTGAAACACATGCATTTAGATAACTTAAATACTTACTTTTTTGCAACTCTAATTCCTAGTGTGTGTTGTTTTGATTCTCATGCATGAATACATTTATATTGTAGTGAAAAACAGCTCCTGAACTTCTGAAAAGAAAAATCCTTTTCCTATTTCTTTTGTTTGTTTTTTCAGCTGGACCATCTATCCCCTCAGTGGTGGCATATCCCAAAAGAAGTCAGACTAGTACTACAGACAGTGACCTCAAAGAGGAAGGAATTCAGTCAAGAAAAACCAGCAATAGTGCTGTTGGAGGAAGAGGAATTGCACCACCTAGTCCAATGCTTGGAAACGCCAGCAATCCCAATAAGGCTGATATTCCTGAACGTAAGAAAAGTTCGGCTGCTCCTAGTGTAAGTAGAAATGCTTATTTATTAAAACCATGAAATGTTTTTGAGGGGTGAAAAAGTGTTAAACCTGTGATGTATCAGTGGTGCTGAAAATACTTTTCATTTATCAAGAGTTAATGTAGGTATCTCATACTGTTGCCTTTGTTTTCCCCTGCTGTCAGCTACTCAAATTACTACTTAATATTCCTGAAGTAGTTAGTAGGTATTAATAATTAGCACTAGTAGCTGTTAGTGAACAGACATAATTTGGATGTTTAAAAGGTCATTAAAAAAAAAAAAAAGAAAAAACCTGAACCCAAAGGCTGTCCCCTGAAATTTCATGAGTTGTGTCTAGTATCACCAACTATCCTTATGTGGTCTCTGTAGAGAAGAATGAAATCTGTTTTTCTTGTTTTATAGATTCATGTGTCTAAGGAGCCACCTAATCTTTGTCCACAAACAGGCTAGTTCAAATCATAGTTACATGTATTAAGATTACTAAAGAAATGTTGCTCTAAAAGCTGCTGAAAGGTGTACTTCAGCCTCTATTCAGAAGCAGCATGCCTGGCTTTCATCCTTGTGGGTTTCCCACTCCTATCTCTAAACCTCAACAACAACAGAGAAAAACACACTGAGGTGCATAACTAGTGAATTTACAGGGTCTAGCAGAAGGCAGTGTGCCAAAAAAAATATTTTGTTCAGTTTGGCTTTAACTTCCATACTCTGGTGCCTCCCTCTGAGGCAGATTTGGAAATCTGTTTTCACATAACTCACATATAATATCTAAAACTTTGGGATTTTGTATCAAACTTCCTTCTCTTTAGAAGAAATAACTTGCCAGTTCTATATTCAACTTGCAATTGAGTGATTTTTTTTTTTTTTTTTTTTTTAAAAACTTATCCCACAAAGCTATCATATTTTGTCATATACTCGGCACCATTGCTTAGAACAAATGGGAACAGAACTTCCTGAGCTTACAGCTTTTTGACAGTCTGAAACAAAAGTAAAATAAGATTTGTTTTACTTGATTGGGTCTGTATTGCCACTTGGCTAGTGTCAAAGAGATTCCTTGGAAAGGCATGTCTTCTACTGCAGCAGCTGTTATTCATAAATGTGAACAAGAGCTCAGGATTTTTCCTGATTTCTTTTCTGACATTTGAGGTCCCCTGCTCTTTCTCTGCATTTTTGTTCAGTCCAGAAACCATTCAGATTTTGTTCCTTCTTGCAAGACAGTTCTTCTCTACTGAGTCTTAAAATGGTAGGACAAAGCTAATTTGATTATCCTATAATGCACTTTGCTCAGTATTGTGTGGTACTTATTCAAGCTCTTTGCATCACAGTTAAAACATACTTTACATTCACCATCTTTTAGTATTTTGATCTGCTATTCTACACCACTTCCAAATCCTGGCAATTTTTTCCAGTAGTCTTACTTCAAGTTTCGTACTACTGTAGATGAGATAAAATTGAGCTCATATCCATGGGATACTGCTCTCTTCTGATTCAGTGTGCAGCTGATGCAACTGATCTTTTACAAGCAATGGTATAAGGTAGTGAACATAGAATCAGATGTGATGTCACTCAATTAGTGTTCAAAATTGTCTCTGTTAATAGCTCTTCATGTCAGTTCCCTTCCCTCCCCGACTAAAGATTAGTCTTTTGCTTTCTGGCTGTTGGGGATGGAGGGAAGCACTGACTTTTTTGCAGAGTTCCTAGAACTGTAGGGAGCTTTGTTTCCTATAGTATTGGCATGCATCTAGAAGGAAATAAAAAGGATGTTGCAGTTACCATATTGTCCGGAAGTTGAAAAAAAGTTGAGGTGGAGGGAGTTTGTGTTCTCACTTAAGTCCTAAAATCAGTAATATGATGAGAAAATCACTGAAGAGACAAAAAAATCTGTTTAAAAACAGATATAATAAAAGTAGTAGAATGGGTCCTGGCTGGAGACCCTTAGCCAGCTGTGTGCCTCTTAGTAAATAGGAAACCATACAAGCAAGCACTTAAGAATAAGAGTTTTGCTTGTAGAGCAGATAGCTATGTCTGGGGTTGGAGTAAGAGGCTCCAAGCTGTACTTCTAAAGTTGATAGAGAGTTTAAACTCTTGCAAACTAAATAGTTCTGCAAGCTGAACAAGTGCATATCAAAAATCTTCAAATTCATTGGGCAAATACCAAATTAATAACAAAAAACGTGCTAAAGAAGTTGCATAGTTAGCAGCAACTACTAACTCCTTTTTTTTTTTTTTTTTTGATAACTCCTTGTTTATTAGTCATAGCTTTGAATTTTTCCTCGATGTTTGTAATAAGGCTGCCCCAGAGCTCTTAGCATAGCTTTAAGAAAACTAGAAGAGGAGAATAGATGGTATGGTTGGAAAATAATATAGGATCAAAAAGCATACTAGTGTTCTTAAGTAAATAGATTGGTTCATTATGGCAAATCAGAAGCTAATTCTTTGAAAGTTTTTAATCAGTTCTCACCTTGGTGGCTCTTAATGTGAAAACAGCCTACCTAAGCAGGGGGTGCAGGACTCTTTACGAAAAGAGGAGGGCTCTGTAGCACAAATTCATCCTTTGTGCTGGGATTGGACTTTGTGCACATGCTCAGAAGTCTCAACGTGTGCTTCTGCAGTGTCGGCACATTCTGTGAAGAAGGCAGATGATGCCATGGAGTTGAACTGGCACACAGCTAACCCTAACCCTAGGAGCTGTCATTCCCTTGGGGAGTGTGGTGCTGTTGACACCAGTTTCAGGCTTCCTCTGCTGTGCATCTGTGAACCTGTGAAAAGAGTCATAGCTGAAGAGCTTCCTTGATAATCATGAAAGGTTGTTCACCAAAAATTGTAAAGACTGTACCAAGACTGTGTTCTTGCTAAAACAGAAATCCGAAAGCTTGAAGTCTTCTTAGCTTAAATCTTCTCTCATGACCTCTGAAATCTGAGCCAAACAGAAAACAGTATATACTAAACATGTCTTTGCAATCCAGAATGAGCTCGGAAAGTGCATCTCTAGAGTCCTCCAGTTTCAGATAAGAATCCAAAACTTGTCCACTCCCAAACCTGAAAATGTGTGGTCTTTAAAGTTTGGTCCAGTGGAGAGATTGTTGTCTTGTCTTTCTGGATGTGCAACATTACAGGACGTTTTAATGTTTGTGGTTGCTTCTCAAGGGATATAAATATTTAATATTCTAAGGAAGCAGGTGCAGAGAAGGAAGCCACCCATTGTTGTCTGTATTTCCCAACAGAAAAACAGTCTGAATTCTAGGTGTTTCATTCTCTGTGTTCAGGACCACAGAACACAATGCTATGCAAATAGTAATGTACAATACTCCAGTGTACCATGTGTCTTGCACAACATGACCTCTCAGGAACACAAACAAAACTTGACACTAGGTTCAGAGTTTCATTGCTAGCAGTTTAGTATAGAGAGGGGAGTTTTCACAATGACAAATGTCAGAGGGAAGTGGAAGAATCAAGGTTTTTGTTAGGTTTTGTTTTGTGTGGTGTTTTTTTTGTTTTGTTTTGTTTTTTTAATAATTTGTCTTTATCCCTTGAAGACAAGGGGTGCATAAGGAATAAAGTACAAGGAAAAGGCCAGGAGGACTTCTGCTGATACTTGACACATACCTAATACCTGAGAAATATCCAGTGAAGAATACTTGAGACCACTTGAGACAACTACATACATCTTATGATATAAATTAATAGTTCCACTAGTCTAAAATACTCTTGATACTCTTTGTACTTTTTAGAACCAGGTGGTTGTGCAGTTTTCTTTTCCATTTTGTATGTCATCCATACAAAGATGTATGACAGGTTAGCAGACTTTCAAACAGATAAGATGGCTTCCTTGTTAAATGTGCAGCTCAGGGATTGTGTTGCTTGAGCCTCCTCGTATAGCAAGAATTTTGCCTTAAGGCATTGGAGAAGCTTATCGTGGTTGTTGAGAATACTACACTTTAACAGTTTTGTTTCAGGTTTGGAAACAAAAAAGGTTTGGCTACTCTCCTTTTGTGCTTTGGACTAGTTTTTGCTTTTTTTTTTTATCCTTCTTCCCATGATTCTCTGCTGTGACCATTTATGTGAAACCTTTTCTTAATGCTATTTTTAAAATCCACTGAATTTCCCTTGTCTATCATAGCAGTAATTCTTCAAAGAACTCCAAAAGGTTAGTTGAGCATGAAGTCCCCTGCCTGATTCTTAGTGGCCATCCTTACTCGACATGTGCTTATCCAGGTGCTGACCAGTCATTCCCTTAAGCTAGCCTCCTCCAAGACTTTCCCCAGCAGTCATGTTAAAATTAGTAGCCTATTTTGCTTCCTGCTTTGCCCCGTGATCCTTTTTCTTTAAAGAGAATTTTTAAAGGTTTTTTCCACTTTTCAACCATATGCAGTTTCCTGTGTTATGTTCTTGGGGTGGGGAGAAAAAAAATAAGGCTTGCCGGCTTCCTCTACAACCTGGGGGTGCATGTTTATTTGGACCACCATGCTTTTCCTACAGCAATTGCATCTAACACTGTATAATTCTGTTATCTGTGAATTACCTAGCTTCTCAGTCGCTCCTGGAAAATTGACCGCCAACTTGGGCATATCTCCACCCTCTTTCTCTGTAAAGACAGAGGCAAAGTAATTCTATTTCTTTTCTCCCCTCTAAAGTAAGGTCTGTAGTTTAAGTTCCCCTGGCTCTCTTGTCCTCGATGTATTCTGTTTGTATTTAAATGTATATTTTTAGAAGCGTCTTATTAAAATTCTCTAGAGATTTGTCTTTTTAATTTGACTTATTCTTCCCTGGTTTTAAAACTTGCCTGGTGTTTGTCATATTTTAATATTTAAAAGTCCATGTTTACCTTCCCACTGAATTTTACCACATTTGTTTCTTAAGTCTTTGCTTTTCCTATCTGGTTTAAGGGGATGATTTTAACTTACAGGAAAATGCTGCAGTCTGCAAGTGGTAAAGTATTTTAAAAATGGGCTATAAAGACATTAGACTATGCAGAGGTAGATGGACACTATAAATGCTGAGAATTTGTAATTCAGAACATGGCTAAAGACTTTATAGCGATATTCATTTTGAACCATCAACATGAAATGCAAGAACAACTTGTTAGAATTGTTTTTTCTGATTCCATTATTAAAAATACTGGAAGGTGTTTGTATATTAACTTAATTATTGTAAGATTTATAGCTGTGTAGAAGTAGCGTGAAGTAAAACAGCCTTCAATTATATGTAGACTTAACCCCTGAAAAGCCTTTTATGGGGAATAACAAGCTTGTGTTTTTTAATTTGTAGAATAATACTGCCCCCGGAGCAATGACACGGCGCAACACATATGTTTGTAGTGAAAGAACCACTGCTGATAGGCATTCAGTGATACAAAATGGCAAGGAAAACAGGTATATGAGATGTCTTCATATGGTGTGTGTCCCTTGTCTTCACATTTCCAAAAAAATTGTAATGCCTAATATAAAAATCAGTAATGTTCTAGTGTAACTCTTAATGAAAGGTGAGTACAGATCTTTGGTTATGAAGCATCTGTAAGTATGTTGGGTATTTTATACTTAGAATGTAAAAATAAGTTCCTAATTTCTGGTTAAATACATGTCATATATGTAACAGCCTTCATCTTAAATCTGTTGTTAACACCTGTGTCTAAACAACATACACTTGCAGAAGAGGCTTGTTTAGCATCAGACTACAAAGTCCATCTCTCTTGGGCCATTCTCTTCTTACATTTCACTATAAACTGTACTTTGGGATTATTTGGAGTATCTTTTCTACAGAGTCTCTGGGAGAAAGTAAATTTTTTGTGAGCAAAGTTGAAATGGGCCATTGTCTTGGACTAATAACATTCCTTGCTGATATTCTTGTAGTTTAATTGCTTCACAGTAGTTACAGAAGTCATACAGACTGATATCTACACATTCTGAGTGAACACAGTCAGAGAAGTAATAGGTTTCCTCCTTCTTTACTGAATGGAAGCCTGAGTGGAGCATGCAATGGAATTGGGAGCTAACTGGTTCACATGTTAGCACCAGAGCCACGTTTAGTACCATCCTTCCTGGTGTACCAAAGACCGAGGAGACCTGTAGAAAATAGATACAATAGTGAATATAGACATTGGGTAGAGAGTAGTCCTCGTGAAGAATACCACCAGATTTCCTGGCTGGCTGAGGTATTTTAAGTTCCAAACAACAGTTCTTCACAGAGTTTTACTGGTCTCAAAAGCTGGCAACAATTAAGTAGTTGACTGTTGCCAGGAGAGTGCCCAGATAGCTAGTACTTAATAAAAATGCTTAAGCTTGGAGTAATGTGTACTTCTTCCTGTTCTTCCCAATTTTCTCCAACCCATCCTACTTTTATGATGTATTGTAAAGGGTGGGAAGAGAATACTTGTCTTCTAGCTTGTGTTGAAATTAAAAGATCTGATGTTTTTTGCACAGAATTTCCCCCCTTTCTTTTGGTAGTTTATGAGGAGGAGTGATGATGTTGCAATGTCAAATGGAAAGTCTGTCCCTTGTTTTAATCCTGGAGCCTATGGATAAAAAACATGATTTTGACCGTCTCTTCCTCCTAGCTTTCTGCAAACTGAAAGAGGTTAAGGAAAAAGTCAAGTGTAAATTTGAAATCTGAAGATTGCCAAAAGTCTAGTTGGCCAGCTGGGCCTGCAGTCAACTGTCTTGTGAAGTACAGCACAGCTCTTTGGTACTGGCTCTTAGTGTGTCTGCCTCAGCCTTCATTGGTTAGTCCCTGCTACTGTTACCCAGTTGAGATTAAAGCTTACCATCCTTTCTTTGATTTGGTACTTTAAGAGCTTTTTAAAAAAAAAAAAATTCCAAACTGTCTTTGAAAAGCTAATCTTTCTGTCCAAAATAGTTTTGATCAGATTTGATTAATTAAATTTTTTGGTTTAATTTTTGTTCATCTTAAACTGTCTTTGCAATACCTCATCTACAATTTCTTTATATGTTTTAAAAAGTTACTAGCTGCTATTTACTAGGAGTGCTTGAGATTCAAATGTCCCCTTAATTTAGGAGTAAATTCATGCTCCTGAGGGGATGTCTTACGAAGTTATTTTTTTCCCCAGCTTTGTTTCTCAGCAAACTGCTGTCTGTCTGGTTTGTCACGTATGAACATTGAGTTCAAAGTTAACATTGAGTAGTACTTGGCAGCTATGTGAATTCTATTTTCTATCCATAATTGGTTATCCTTATATAATTCACCTTTTATTGGCAATATGGTATCCAAATGTCATCTGCTTATCCTGCAAACTTTGAGCTAAATGTCTGGACATTTATATTTCACTTTCAGGAATAAAATCTCTTTAGCTTTTATAGCGTATCTTTGATTACTACGTTCGTTACTCTCTGTAAAATGAGAAAAGAATGAGAATGTGTTGCTAATTGTTTTACAGTTGGAGACTTCTCATTGTCTGAAATGCTTCAACACTAAACTGCACCTTCATTTTGGCCCAGTTTCATAATTACTATGGTTTGGCACAGAATTCAGAATTTACATCTGAATGTTTTGTTGCTGTAATTGGGCAAAGGCTTGTCTCATCCCATGAAATGTAGGGACCTTTAATGAAGGCCAAATCAACATGGCTGTTGATGGGACTAGCTCTTTAGAATGATTTCTGCCTGCCTTCAGGTGCTTCTGTATTATCTCTAATTTTAATGTACTCTCAACTTGGCAGAAAATAACTGTAGAAAGTTGTAATGGTTTTTCTTTTGTGAAGCGAGATCTGAAGTAGAACCTGGGCTTTGTATAAATCAGGTTTTGTTAAAAATGCTTTTTGTGCTTCTAGAATGTCTGTTGGTGGCAGTTGTTAATGGCAGGAGTAACTACTATAAACAATTTGTTACAGATTAAATTGTAGCTTTTTCATAGCCAGTCAGATCCTGTCCGAGACCGGTGGAAGCTTGAGAGGCTTGCCTTAATAGGCAAGATGCACACATTTTAAAATCTCAATTCTTTCTGTAGAGAAGTGCTAAAATGTTGCTTCTTCTGTTTTTATCTTGCACATGGAATTCTGAGAAGGTATGCAAATGCTGAAGAATCGACAGGCAGCTAGCTGACTTGATGTTGGAGAAAGTAGTCCTGAAGACCCCATGCCAGACTGATAGAAGCAAAGAGTTTTCAAGTCTCACATCCCTACTTTAACACATTGTGTCGCTGACACAGGCATTCTGCTGGAGATAACTGTTGGCTTTCCTCCAAAGCATGAGCATTAATGCATTTGGGTACTCATGAAACACTCTTCATAATGATAGGCAATTGCTTTAAATCATTTGTAGCACAAATTATTTAAAGCAACAGCCTCATATTTTTAATAAGCCTTGGCACTAATTGGTGAATGTTAGCTCACTGTTTCTGTGTTCCCAGGCTTGTAATCCAAGGAAGCTGATCTTCAGCAAAGCTTCCGAGGAAGAGATAAAAATGCTTTAATATGTACTCTGGTGTACCCTGTTGATACTTTCAGCCATCACATCTTTGGAGGCAGATGACTAAGTAAAACTTAGATCTAATGAGTAGTGACACCGGATTCTTTCTCCTTTATCTTTTGCAAATAATTGAGAGGAAAGGAACCACAAGTGTTTGAGAGGCTGAGCAATTATTTAGGGATTCCTTGACTTTCGGGTATTGGTTTGATGAACGTTCATTTCCTTACAATTTCTTAATACCCTGGGGTAATGTAAAAGTTGAGCTGTGTTGCAGGCTTCACTGTAGTACTTGTAGTTGGCATCCTTCTGGATCAGCATTGTAAAGAGATGCATGCATGACTCAGATGAAGATTTTTTTAGTTTCTGAAAAGTTAAAAACCAAAAAGAAGTATGTTTTGCTAACCATTCTGGCTAGCAGTTCTTGTGTCTGAGCTGAGAGATGTTTAATACTAGTGCTTTGGAAGCTGAGCCTGAGAAGTGGGTCAGCTAATACTTTTGTTGCTAGACTAGCATTCTCCTCTCCGAAGTCTGACATACCAAAATGAGATAACAGGACTGCAATTTTAGTATGTGTAACCATGAAGTATCTTGAAATTAAACACACAATGTCATGGAACTGTCACTGCCAGTTCCTGACTTCTTAACCTTGAGCAATATTTCTGTATTACAATTGCTGTACTTCTGAAGCAGACTTAAGCTGAATGGGATAAGGTGTTATGGCTTGAGAGGCCCAATACATTTCATAGCCTCTTGGTTTTCTTCTATCCTTACCATTACTAGGTAATGCGAAGGCTGAAAAGAATATTTTTGCCCAAAGAAAGAAAGATTTCGTGCTCATGCTTTTAACCATGTTATACAGCTGGCAGCTTACTGGCCATTCTGCTAAGACAGCAGTATATACCTTCCTTCAAAGCCTGAATGGTGATTTGAACAATCAAAGGTTTGTGGCCAGGCAGCATGAGAAACTCTTCAGCAGTTACACCTCTTTCTTCAGACAACACCGAGCGTTACGTATAGTCTCTTATATGTACAGGTTGATTAATACCAGCCTTTTTGTTTGGACTTCTCTGGGCTTGTTAAAGATCATGATGTTGTTTTCAGTTGTGCCTGTGAAGTCCCTCAGTTACCAGATGTAGATTGAGATTGGACAGCTTGTCCAACTTATGCTGATTTCTTTTAACACGGACACATTCTGAAAACAAAGTGTTTCACTGTGGTAGCGGAGCTATCATCAGTCTTCTGGAAAGTGCAATTGGTGGGTTTTTTAATGCTTTTTTAAATGTTATTACCAATATGAGCTACATCAGTGCTTTATACTAGTGCTGTGGTGCAGAACACTTGAGTTAGTTGGGTTCTGTACGTCAAGGAAGGTGTTGCTGCCCACTAATGCTAATGGTAAGAGAATGATTACTTCAGATGTCAAGTGCTATAGTAAGGATGCTTTTTAAGGGGAGCGTAGGGTAGTTACTGCTGTTTATATAGAAGAGGGCTGTTTAGAGTTTGTGTTCTTTGATTAATCAGTTAATAGAAGGAAAAGTTTGCTTTTTTATTTTCTATGCAGTAGTTTGTTGTTGGTCCATCATGCTCTTCTTTCTGCCTCTGCCTGAACCCAAACCCCCTCCCAGCCTGACAGAAATGTTCGCTTACGCAGCTAGCCCAGCTTCAGTTTGTACTACATCCTTCTCCAGTGTTCGGCTGCGACATCAGAAGTCGATGTCCATGTCAGCCTCTGTGCACACGAAGATGATGTTGCCTCCAATAGACAATGGCGCAGATAACTTCAGGCCTATGTAAGAACCTGAAATCGTTGTGAAACTAACTTATACCCACTGCTTCTTAACTTTGTGCTGTGGAATTTTAGTGCTAGATTGTTCTAGTATATATTGCCCACAAGATGTGTGTTTCCTCATTTTTTTTAGTATTGTTTACATTTGTCTTGTGGTGTGTCAGGCTGTCTGTGACATAATCCTGCAGTAATGAACCTTAAATTTTTTTCCTAGTGTTAGGAGTATTGGACGTTCCCCATTGTCAAAAGTTTGTGGGAGACTTTAACTATGTATCCTGAAGGACTTCACTCCTTGGAGCGGTTTGCTTGTAGAGAATTTTGTGTAGAATACTTTCAAATTAGCAAGATTTTCAAAGACTTGTATAGAGAATGTGGAGGGAGAGACACTAAAGTTACTTATTGCTTCTCTTTCCTGGGAGGAAACTTTACTCATCTATTCTTTTATCAGTCTTCTCAGTGAGACACTGTATGCCTAGTTTATCTGGTTTTTTCCAGGATACGCCTGTTGCATTTTTCTGCTTGTGTAGGTTTCTGTTTCGGCAGCCTTTTAATCCTAACTTATTACAAGTTTTGGTTTCATACAGTGCTGTAATGTTGGTTTCCAGCCTTGGCCTATATAAAAGTGTCTGCTTTTGCTTTACTGTAGAACGTAGTCTTTTGTGTTTCCTGCAGAAGCCGTGGTGCTTCAGTGAGGAAGTTGTAGCTTCTGTTCTGTTTTCTGCCCTAGCACTATTCCTGACCAGAGGACCCCTGTGGCCTCCACGCACAGCATCAGCAGCGCCACCACGCCGGACCGCATCCGCTTCCCGCGCGGCACCGCCAGCCGCAGCACCTTCCACGGGCAGCTCCGGGAGCGCCGCACCGCCACCTACAATGGGCCGCCCGCCTCCCCCAGCCTGTCCCACGAGGCGACGCCGCTCTCCCAGGCGCGGACCAGGGGTTCCACTAACCTCTTCAGCAAGCTAACTTCAAAACTAACAAGAAGGTAAGCCTCCTAAAACAGTCATGCCACGTTCCCCTTTTGTGGAAATACCTTCTAGTTCATTGCCTAGGTGGTTTTGTCCACATTTCAATGCCTTAATTTCTACAACTTCAAATACACTGACATGATTTTTTCGTAGTTTTTTAGTTACAGAAGCCATTTGGTTTTAGCGGCTGAATCAAATGGGACAAAAAGTGAAGCGGTTTGGTCTGTGCTGTTTCTTCCATGCTCTTCATCCTCATCTACAAGATACAAATGCTGCAGAGCTGAAGTGTTGCAGCTCTGTTCAAAAGCTGCTCACTCTGACTGCATGGTCTCAGTACACAGAATAAACTGGGATCATAGTCCTGATATTTAGTGCAGCTTTAGAAGTTCAGGTTGTGTTTTGCAGTCACGTAGGCTGGCGGAGTTTCCAGAATAATCTTGCTGGCAACACGTGAATAGAAATATCGTAAGTGAAAGGGCAGGGGCAAGAGACACAAGCTCCTGTTGGGAGTAGTGCTAGTATGGATCATCCTAAATTAATGGCAGCACTCTGGTTTCAGTCTACACAAGGAGTCTGGTCAAACCTTGAAAAATTTACTCCTGTTTTGACCTTTAGTTCATGTGAAGATTCTGGTTTCTAGTGTGAAGAAGGTGTGTTGGTCTAGCCAAAGCCTAGCTTAAGCAGGTGTTGTTCCTGCCCAGACAGTTTCTATTCTAATTGGACTTCTAGTTCTAAATCCATGTATGATCTAAATTAGCTTCTACAGAGCCTAAAAGTGAAAGCCACCTATTTTCCTTCTATATTTAAAACATGTCAGTTCACAAACCCATATACTTCAGACCACTCTGACATGCATAACTTGTGTTTGCAGAAGCGAAGATTTGTTTATCTTTTCCTTGAGATAATCTCCATGCTTTTGTACCTTCCTCATCATGAAATTTTTTGGAATATATCACTCTGATCCTGGCCTGTGTGCTTTTGTGTTAGGCTTATATCACACCAGCACCGAGGCATTTCTTTCCTGTCTGTTCTGTGACTATACATGCCCCCCTCTCAGCATCCTTGTCATAGTCTCCCAGTCACAACATAATGCTAAGTCACACTCTCTAGTTTTTCCACAACTGACTCATTTCAATTTAGAGTGAATTTCTTTAAAAATTTAGACTTTTTCTGTGAAAAAAAAGTTTTTAAAAATGTGACAACCTAGCCTTTTGTAAGCATTTTACACTCCTGAGCTCTGTCAGCTAACACTTCTCTAGGAAATACTGTGCTGTGTGAAAGTCAACTCCCCCCCTCCTTTTTTTCAGTTGAGAGAGATAAATGATTGATTTGAACTTTTTTTAAATAATTAAGTCATCTGCTTTTTGTCAAATGAAACCTTATTCAGACACATCCTTTTGGCACATCTTTCTTTCTGTACTTTTGTTTGTAATATCTTTGGTTAATTTTCCATCTGACATTCCAAATGTGAATGCTCAAACTGTGAACTTGCTTTTCACTCAGTTGTTCAGGCAGCATTCAGACTTATATCGTTACCCCTGAGTTTCAGCTGGTACAGTGCAATGTGGTTTTCTTGAAGTTTTTTTCCCTGCTGTTTTTGACAGTAGTTTAAAATCCATCTGGGCTTAAGTAACATGTGGTTGTAACACAATAGCACTGCTACAGATGGCTGAGTTTGTACTTGAAAGACCTCTTACAGCTGAGGCTCTGTTATACTAGGTGGTGTACAGACTACTAGGAGGTGAATACTGGCATGGAAGGACACGCTTATATTTTTTTGTCTTTAAATAAATTTTTTTAAAAAGTAAAAACTCTTGATTTATTCTGGCATTCTCTATGGGGAATCATAATCCTTTTGATTATGAGCTATTTATGCTCTGTTGTAGGCAATTGTTACAGCTTCTACCACTAAGTTAACTAAATATCGAAGGCAGTTTTTGGCACAACATGGCTGACCTAACGTTAAGAAAGAAGGAAGGAATCTAACTCTGAAGATAATCAGATTATAACAGAGTTACTGATTTTTTTTACTTTGTATTTGAAATACATGAAGAAAATCCAAACATTTTTGTGTGACCTTTCAGAGTGAGTTTTGAAGTGTTTTTACACTGATGTGTATTTTAATTCATTATAACTACTGGTGGCATATTTCCCAGAAAAATTAAGTTTGTAATTAAGTAGCAACACTAAGAGTTTCATTCTTCAGACCCTAAATCATCTGCCTAATCTTAGACTGTATTGGAGTGTAATTTCATTGTGCATTTTAAATGAGATCTTTTTGCATGTTTCACTCTAAATGGCTTTTTCAATTTATTTTGTACAAACTTTTTGTTAATTATTATTTTGGCTTAATTTCTTTTAGAAACATGTCATTCAGGTTTATCAAAAGGTAGGATTTATTTATATTTAAAAAAAAGTGGCTCCTGCGATTAACAACAGATTTGGCTTTCTAGCCTTGGTTTTCTGAAAACTAAACTTGCTGCTGAAAACTAAATACTTTCTTTCTTGAGAGGAAAGCATAGAATAAATCCATTAACTCATGATGATACTTAAGAATCTGTGGCACCTGTATAACAAGATGCTAAGCATGCCTTGTGAATTCTTCTTTCTTTGGTAGAGTTGGTAGTACCAAAGTAATTCTGTTCTCTGTACTAATACACTTAGCATGCTTATGTTTGAAGAATGAGGTGTTTGATAACAGTGATGAAATATAAACAAAACATAAGGTTACAAGAAAATAAAGGTAAGTGATGCTAAATTTACATTGTCTCTTTGGCTTATGATTATTTTATTTTTAAAACTGAGTTTAAAGTATTGTCTGCAGTTGATGCAATAGAAAGTACATGGAACATGGTTGTGAATCCAGCAGTTTTGTATGGAAGATTGAATAAAGAAGCAAGGGCTGTGTATTTATTTTAAAATGGGATGCATGGGCTGAAGGGAAATGCAGCTGAAATGCAAATAGAGCACTTCAGTTATAAATGAAGTATAACATCTATACAAAACTTAATAACAAAAGGGAAAAGCTCACATGTCTATTTCACATTGCAAGCCCAAAGGATTGAATTTAGTTTTGCAATTGGGGAATAAATTGAGCTGCTGTGTATCTTGTTAATCTATTATGACTCATGAAAGTTGGTTATACAATTTTGATGCACAAGTAGATTTTCTAGCAGAATTTGTGATACTCTGCTTAGTTACATTATATCATGGGGATTCCAAAAGGGTGGTACTTTCAATTTCCAGCTACTGATCAAACACGGGGAGATGGGCCAAAGCCCAGACATCTGTTGCCTTTCAAAATGCAAGGCTATGCATGTGACTGTAATTTGAAGTTTGTAAGACCATTTCAAGGAAATACATAGAATAGGGAGACCCAAGATACGTAAATTGGTGTCTGAACGTGGGTTTATTATGTGCTGTCTGAGTCTAAAGGTACCCTGCCTGATTAAGAGAGTAAATTCTGTGCCATGGTAATAATAACTGGAGCTCTTCCAAACATGACTGTGTTTAGAAGTGGTGTTGGTTGGGTTGGCTGTCGTTGTCACAGCTGGCTTGAGAAAAAGGGGCACACCCCGACTGTTAGTTAAGGACCAAAACCATCCAACATGGCATGCAGATGAAACTCAGCAGCAGCGGTAGTTTTAACCCATCATGCATCATGAGCTGTGGGGTGCACACCACTTTGTAAGAGGCAGCTTTTGTCTCTCTGTAGTCACAGTGCTTTTACAATGAAGGATTGTGATCTGTGCAACCTCCACAGCTGGATGCATGTAAGTTTGTTACACTGCTGCTCTGAAGAACGGTGGAAAACTGCTAATACAAGTACAGTTTTAAACTAGAAAGTTGCTGTTCAAATTCAAAGCTTTAACAAGGTAATTTTTAATTTAATATTTTTTAATGTTATTAGACTCAAGTCCAGGAATCTTAGGCGATAATGGAAATATCTGCTACGGCTTTTGAATAAGAGATTTACAGAGTCTTAACACCACCTACACAGAACCAGAGTGTGCTTTTTCAATCTTCTTTAATGCTGTTTTAAGTGTGCATGGTGTCCCTCCATATCTGGTCTGGATCTAGGTGCAAAATTAAATGGGAAATGTTTGGGGGTTTGGCAGTTTCTTCTCACTTCATATGCTCTGAATCTTACCTAAGCTCACTATCTTTGATACTGGAAGAACTACTGTAACCCAGTAGCACGTATGTATAGTACTAGAATGTCATTCATTCTAGGGAGCTGAACAAAAGTCAATAATCAGTCACTCCTTTTTAAACTACAGAGTTCTAATATTGTGCTTGGTACATGGAAGCATAAATCGTATCTCTCTTGTATTATGCACTGTCCTTGCCAGTCTGTATACTGTGGAAGACTAACTTTTATTCTGACAACAAAGGTCATTTCCTCTGTTCTGGATTTTACTGTGGCATCTTTGCTCCATTTCCATAAAATGATCTTATTTTAGTGTCTTGTACTTTTTGCTGGTTTTCTGTATCTTTTTAGGCAGTTTTCTTTGTGTTTATTTGGTTTTTTAACACAGAGTGTACGGAGATGTAAAGAACAGAAAATACGGTATAACTCAGGAGAGATGTATGGAAACATTAGTATTTTTGAAAGTCTTTCAAAAACCATAAAGAGAGTGTATGGGCATTGCGTGCCAAATGAGAGTATAACTTTCCTATACATTTGTTCCATTTTCAAGACCAAGGAGCATCTTGGCCATAAAATTAATTTGTGTAGAAACACAAGCAAAACCAGAAAACTCAGAGCATAAGCTAGCAATTTGCAGTTCATACAGAAGTGAAGATTGTATTAGCAATGGGGGTGCCTCCAGGCTGCATCTGACTTGCAGACCCACCGAAACAATACTGGCAGTACAGTCAGTGACAGTGCCCAAAGCACCAGTGCTGGGCTGTAGCACTGGACCATAACCACATCCTTCGTGAAGGAAGGAGCATCCAGAGGGACTGGCACAGCTCACCAGAGCTTGGCACGGTGGCTCGTATTTGAGGGAGCGTGTCACTGAATGCAGTTCCTCCTGTTAATGGAACACTGGTGCATGGAAAAACTAACTGAGGTAAGGATTTTCTGAGAGGCTCCCATGAAAGAG